AATATATATATATATATATATATATATATATATATATATATATATATATAATAGTGTATAAAACTTAAACTCAAAAAAGAATCGATAAATAAAAAGAAAACAAGAAAAACTTCATCATTTTATAATTGGCAAAGTCCTAATCAAAGTAAATTAATAACAGCTTGTGTGCTACCTTTCTGCCTTTGAATCTCGACTCTAAAGGATAAGAGAATAATGGGAGACTGCGTTTGAAACTAGTACGCAACATTGTCTAACCTCGACAAGGACAATTATTTCATTTGAGGGGATACACATTATTAAACAACAATTTGAATGAATTAAACCTCAAGCCTATACATTAGTAGTAAGGGAGTGAAGAAGCCTGTAGATGCTTATGCAACTTTTGACCTAGGGTTCTCAGACCATGTCGCTTTCACTAAAAAGAGAACCCTATCTTTTCCCCACTCACCCCATCTCTCTCTCCCCCTACCTTTTTCTTCATTCTCCGTACTATCTCTTTCTATCAACATGACTTTGTGCCTAATTAAGTCCATATGTCATTGTGAGGTTACAAAATGATCAGGGTGGAGCCAGTTTGCTAGTTACAGGTTCGACCGGACCTAGTAATTTTGATCTAAATCATGTACGTAATTTGTTTTAAAAAGTTTATTGAAAATATTAAATTATTAATTTAGAACTCGATAACTTAAACAGACTAGAATTCAATCCCATAAATTTCAAATTTTGACTCTGTCTCCAAAGTCATAGAGATAGATTTTGATGTTTGGAGCCAAATAACTTTTAGAGAGGTTTAGCATCTCCAACCACATGCCTCCTCACCTTCTCACCAACCACACCCACATCTTATTCATCTTTAGTCAATGGAAATTGGCTTTATGCTTGTACTTGCCGCTGATGTTCATGGGAACTCGCTTGAAACCCTAGCCAATGAGCCTCTCTTTTGTCTAACTTCTTTATTCTTATCCATTTTTTGGTTTAAATAGACTAGATTAATTCAGATTCACGTCATGTATGACCCATTAATTTACTATCAGAATTCTTTTCTCCATTCTCAAAATTTAAATATGAGATTACCGGTTAAGAGTGAATCGATTTCATCCATCCCAACGCACTTAGTATTTTCTTTGTCTTTTTCATATTAAATTGTCCATCTGATTTTTCATCTTCATGCCGGGAGTATTCTTGAAAATGGTGATAGTCCTTTTCCACAACTGTAAGAATCCTCTTTGCAAGGCACTAATTCTCTCTTTAGTCTTTTCCATATATGCGTGCTGCCTTTGCAAATACTCTCTACCATTTTCAACCCTCATTCACAAGCCCTAATAGGCAGACCAGGGGAAGGGGTTTGGACTATCTAGCAATAATTATAGGACCACAAGAAATGTGGGGATTGTTCTGATGTTGCTTTCAGAAATTGAGATAACTTTGAACCAAGAAATGGGGATGATGAAATGTACCATTTAATTAGCGGCCTGGCGTGACAATGAGAGCATATAAACTGTCATGGGCGGCTTTCCAGCCATGCCCCATGACCCCTTGGGCGCGCCCCGTGGCGTCCTAGCGAACCTCCCAATGCCTAGCGTCACCGACGGCCCCGTGGTCTTGGCTGCGCCAAGTGACAAGCGCGCAGGTGCCTCTGTCGCCCCACCGATATCCCTCGCGAGCGCCAAGCCGCAGGCAGAAGCCAACAGCGCCGCGCGCGCGGACCGTGATGCCAAAGACACTGCTGCTGACAACGGACCTGCTGCTGCCTTATAGAAAACTAAGTCATTTTCATTGTAAATATAGAGTAGTTTTATTTCATGTACTTCCATTATGTTTCTCTAGCTTAGTCAAGTCTAGTCTTGTAACTTTGGATTTTTTTTTTAAGTACTATTAGGGGGGATCAAGCAATCAAAACTTTCTAGCAAGCAAGCAATTCTCTGTACTGGTGTCTCTCCCCCTCGACACCGCGTTGCTTTTCTGTAATAGCTTTCATTAATGCAATCAAGCTTTCTTTCATTCTGAATTCGCACTTCAGTTCTCTTAATTGCTCTTGACATTGGTTTTCCCGTACGGCACTGACAATCTCGTCTAGCGTACGGAGGGGACCTCAGTTGGCGGACAGCAACTGCACTGACATCAGTTGCCTAGCCTTACGTCGCCCTTCCAAGGAATCTCAGGAAGGCGCCGCGTGACAAAACCCATGTTTTTTAAGTGCTCTCATTTCCATAGATAAAGAAAGCGGAAAAGAGCCAAATATACCTCAGTACTATTAGAAAAGGTTTAAACGCATGTACTCTTCGTTGTACTTTGTGCCTATATATACCCTTGTCGTTATACTATTGGTTCAAATATGCCCCTTTTCCGTTAAGTTTGTCCAAAGTGGACATCTAATCCTACGTGGCACTGACATTTGATGAGGTGGTGTTAAGAAAACATATTTTAATATCTCAAAAAGAATATTTACAATTATGTCTAGGTTCATTATTTTTAATATAATATTAATTGGTCTTGATAGAAATGTAACTGATGGAATATTTTCAATTACAAAATTTCATTTTAACGTTTGGCAATTGATGGCTTTCAATGGCTTTACGTTTTGGCATTGTTGGTATTGAATTCTTAATGATCCGTTTTGGCATTCTTGATATTGAATTCTTAATGATTTGTTTTGGCAGTGAATTCTTGACATTAAATCCTTTATGGATTTTACCGGTTTTTCATTTTCAGATGTCCGTTTTCTTGGACTATATATAAAGCTATTTGTTTGTGTTTATGGGTAGTGTGGAAAAAAGTTAAAAAATTTCTTCCCTTTTCTTTCGTGCTGGGTTTTCTTTTATACAATCTTTGTTGTTTCTGCTCCTAGTTATACTAGAAGAGTTTGTTGAATCCTGAGGGATACACCTAAAATTATTTATCTCGGTGTGGGCGAAATATCCTTAAGGACAGTATCTTTGATACGCCTCAAGCTAAACCTTTTATTCTCCATAATCATCCAATTTTTCCAACAATCTTAAGGATATTTTCACGTTGTTATTATGGAGAATAACACTGCTAATGTTGTTGTTGATGCTGCTACACATGCTGCACCAACTGTTTCTGTTGTTGTTCCATCACCAATTACCTATGCCAAACATTTTCCTGATGTTTCGAAAATTGAGATTTCTGGTGGACATAATTTTAAGCGCTGGCAGGAACGTGTGTATTCTATTTTGGATATGCATGGAGTTGCTTTTGCAGTTACTGATCCTAAGCCAATTGAAACAACTTCCATTCAGATGGATCAATGAGTTCATGCTAATAAGGTATGTAGACATACTATAATTTCTACTCTTTCTAACGAATTGTTCGATGTCTACGTTTCCTACAAGGAGGCAAAAGAAATCTGGGAGTCAATGATAACAAAGTACACTGCTGAAGATGCTACTAAACAAAAGGTTGTAATTGGAAACTACTTGTCACGACCCAAAATCCATTAAGGGTCGTGATGGCGCCGGACACCGCTGTCAGGCAAGCCAACCAAATACTTAATTAAACTCCAATTTAACGATTTTGAACACTAAGATTTTTCCTTTAAATTTCATAAGTAAAAAGATAACTGCTCAATTCAAATTAGATACTAGCAATCAATAGAAAAATATTTAAAAACCATCCCGGAACCTGGTGTCACAAGTACATGAGCATCTACTGATAAGGAAATAAAATACAATACAACATCCGTCCGGAATACAGTGGACAGAAAGAAAATACAATTTACTGGAAGGGACTTTACTAGCTGCGGGCCGCCTTGAATAATGCAACTCACCTAGTCCCCGAATCATCCGTGCTGCTATGCCTAGTGGGCTGCTAGAGATAAATATACCTGTGCAACAAAAATGCACAGAAGTGTAGTATGAGTACGTAAACAACGTATACTCAATGAGTATCCCGTCTAATCTCGAAGAAGTAGAGACGAGATGGACAACTTCGACACTTACTAGTGGTCTAATAAT